TTACGAATTTGTTGTGGAAAGAAAAAATTTGTAGCTTTCGTTTTTTAAGAAAAATGGTATGTAGGCTAACTCGTCACCATATACCTAGTCGATAGAATTGAGATATTGAAAGTGTTATAACGGAATTAATTGTAGCAGTAACAGTCAGGTGTTTGTGCGACGTGAAGTGACCAGTCAGGAGTCCCGTCTTCTCAGTGAGGAAAAAACTGGATAGACCTTCTGAGATTGAAGGTAACACGAGTTTTGCCCACCTGCATCCACTCGATGGCTCCCAGTCATTTCTGAGCGAGGTATCCACCCAGTTTCTTATGGTGGCTTCGATGGCCGAAACGGAGAGTGCTATAACTAGTTGCGGATCGAGGAATGCCTGGTCCAAGCCAACTGTGGCAAAAGGGTCAGATGTCTCATTTGCAGGCACCTCCGAGTTGCCCGGCACCCATAGTAAAGGAAGCTCGTTATCTTTACAAACATAATTTAGCCGAGACTTGCATTGCCGAACTAGTTCGGAAGTACTTAGAGGGCTAACCAATGCCTTCAGTGCAGCTTGGTTGTACCTGTAGACAGGTTTGGAGCCATCAGTGAAGATTCGGAAATGTGCGAGTGCAGGCTCAGCGCTGGAATTAAACCAGCATTACCCTCGGGGAACTCTCTCTCTCTCTAGAATGCCTTCAGCAAAGGTAATGGTGGCATACTATCCAGTAGCATTGAAAAGACACAAGTGCTCAAATATCTGCCGCCGGCAATTTTCGCATCGCCTCACTCAGTGTTATACCAACATACGTTTGTTTTTATTCTGTAGGTGGCCTTTAAGGTAAGCTGACCAACCGTCCTACTTTGAGGAGGAATGTCCCGTCCTCCTCAAAAATTTTGGCCTTCTCTGTCCTCCTTTTGAGCAAAAATGTCCTCCTTTTCAAGTTTTATAGCAGTGATGAAAATTAAAAAAAAAAATTCGTTCAGAATATTATTATTTCCTAATCGTACACAATCATTGTATTATCAATTATTTATTCAATCAATTATTTATTGACAAAAATACTGTTCATTCTATAAAAAACACCCCGTAAATTCACATTTTAAACTTTGTGCAAAAATTATAAATATTTACCAAATTTTTACCAAAAATTTACACTTTTAATAAGAATTTTAGTTTTGCGTATGCAGTTTTATAGCTCATGCATTTTAGTATAATAAAGTGCGAAATTCATATGGCTACAAAATAACGTTGATTTTTGGCATACAAAGTATGTTCGAACTTTTTTTATATATGTGACCTGGTCTACGGAAAGGGGGCTTAGGTGTCAAAAAATCAATTTTCACTTTTTGGTTGATTCGGATGGAAGATGAGATGCTTTTTCACGTGGTGAAAAGCAGAAAATCCTAACTTGCTTAGAAGTGTACTAAAAATGTAGAGAAAGTGTTACTTTTTTAAATGTTCCACACTAGCAACTTACACGATGAACTATAATAATATTCCGACCAACAACAACACTTACTGGACGTCCGGCGCGGAGAACAATTAACGAGATAATGAGAAACTGACGAAACGAGTTGCTTACTTTTAACAGCTTTTTCACAGAAAACTAGTTTTCGCACGTAAGCTCCCTTTTCGTAGACCAGGTCACATATATATTTGGAAGAAACTTAACAACACTGTCAACAAAAAAAATTCACGGTAATATGTTTCGGTCTTATAATTATGCAACTCGTTTGACTTGTGTTTAGAGCAACCATGAATTGTGTTTGCTTTTCTTAGCAATGTTAACTTATTCGTTATTTATGTGTTAAAATAAATATAAAACAAATCTTTTGTGTTTTTAATGTGGAGTATTTGTCCTCCTGGAATGCTAAAAAATTCTGGTCACCTTATTTAAGGCTTCCCCACGTATGATGACACAAAGTGACGGTAGGTTCACCAGTGCGTCAAGTGCACTATACATTAAAGTTAAATAAATAGGCTATCAAACAACCATTTGGTTCTTCACTTCGAGACCAGATGATTTTTCGAGGACCCCCACTTACAACTCGTTCACACCCATATTTTTTTTTCGCCAACGTAGACCCCTGTCGAGTCTCCCGTGGACTCCTGGGGTTCCATCTGGACCACTTTGGGCATCAGTATAGTATCCGGAAAATTTATTTATTTTTATTTTTTATTTAGAATAACGTCTTGTCCGGCTATGTGGTATACAGGTATGTAGAGCTATGAATTGAAAAAATACATTAGGTTTTAGTTGAGATATTCGCTTTTGACCACTATGTTCTGTACATTTCCCAATGCTGCAAAGCTTTTGTCATTCGCCTGGAAGTGACCAGAAGTGATTTGTTTTCTTACGGTTCAAATCTCAGCTCAATTCGTCCGGATATTTATATCCACGTATTCCCTGGGTAGCGACCAAACACCCGTTTGGGAGCGAGCTAATGTGACAAGACGTATAACCAGGCGTGCGCTGGCTTTGGGTCCCTGCACGTTAAAACCCTACCCAATGAAAAAAAAACCATGGGGATAGGCGATGACGGCAAACGTATAAAGGACTATTATTTGAGGGTATGCAACTGGAATATCCGGACCCTTAATAGGGATGGTGCCTATGCCTTCTGACGACCACAGAACCAAACGTGAACGTGAATTGTTGGTAAAAACGTTGGACCAAATTTAAAAAAAAAAATTAATTTTGGGTGGGACGAAGGCCGCAAGGTCTGCTAGTAATAACGTAAAACCCGATTTGTTTTTTTTTTTACTCGTAACTTCAGTTCTGCTTAGATACAAAACTTTAAAACCAAAGGTTTGTCTCTACGGGAAGGCATTGGTGTTATTGAAGAGATTAAAAATAATTAACTCAAATGGAATATTTGGAAACAATTAAATTCAGTCCTGAAAAGAAATTAAGGATTCATATCTTAGCATAATATAATCGGCATTATTTTTGATAATAGTAAAAAAGTGACAACTAAATCGATTCATTAACACCACTAGAAATATGAAAATTTCGAATTCCGTCCAATCCTTGAAATAAACTGAATAAAAAACAAAGCATTAAACTGTACCTAGATTTTTTGTTGTTTTTCGAGCATATTTGGAAGCTTATTTACTTATGTTTTAATATTTATCTAAGCGCTTAAAATTGCTTTTTTCCTGCTTATTTTCTTCGGTCCTGCTCATCACACATCACTTTAACTGAAACACCACTTTGTAGTTTTTCCAGAATACTGGTTAATCAAAGAAATGCAAAAAATTCAAATTTTGTTTGCGTGGCATGCAAAGTAGTAGGTATTGAGGTAAAATTGTTTAGAAAAATGCACTTATAAAGGTTACAATGTTTTGCTTTAGAGACTTGCANCAAATTTTGTTTGCGTGGCATGCAAAGTAGTAGGTATTGAGGTAAAATTGTTTAGAAAAATGCACTTATAAAGGTTACAATGTTTTGCTTTAGAGACTTGCATTAATCAAGGAATTGCACGTATTTAGGGTTGCGGTTACCGTTACGAATAATTATAAGGCTCAAACTACGAAAAACGCGTTTTTATACCTTAGGTTCAGATTGTGAGGAGGTATTCAAAATTTTAAGTATGCACATTTTTTGTGCTTTCAATGCTTCCTCCTCGTAAAAAACATGTGCAGTAAAAAGTAAATTATTTAAATCTACGAATAGTTTTATATCAACTTTTGTGAACTTCTATTTATGTGTTTGTGTACAACATGCTTCTATTGGTTCCAATAAGTTTAAGCTATAATAACAATTTTTAGTAATAATTATTGGTTTTGAAAACAAAATTTGTATAGGGCCCCCCTAAATTTCGTTCTGGCTACGCCCATGTACAAATCTACAAGTGTTCATATCACAAGTTTTGTGTGAACTTTCGTGAAGCGAAATTTAGAAATTTTTGTAAAATGAGCACTTTTACCTTGTAGCTTGTAAAATGTAAATTTGAAGTAAATGCATAAGTATGTATGTATGTACATATGTATGTCTTTTTAAGCTGATTTCATTTTTTCAACTCTTTAAAATTTTGTCATAATGCTATCAAACATTAGGTATACTCGCGTATTCTTCCAGCAGAAAAAAAATATAAATAGAGAAATGGGAATGCATTTTTATTTGTTCTCTCTCAAGGAGAGAAATGTTTGTAAAAGTACACGAACGCTAAACTATAAAAAAACTTGCAAGTTTAACGAACAGCTGTTGGCTAAGCTAAAAGTGGCTGCCCTAATTGGGACTTCTTTCTCATTTATTTCACGAATACACGTTTTTTGGTTAGGACGAGTTATAAAATATTATTATTCATTATATTCTTCAGTAAAAATGGACAAACATGCCTCTTCCTTATTTTATTTTTGGCTGCAACACTAAATTTCAATTTTATAACTGGCAAGAATCGCAACCGGCTGATTTTCGATAAGCTGTTTTCTTGCTGTCAAATTGCTGCTGTCAAAAAATTTTTCCAGCAGAAAATAGCAGCTTCTCAACAAAATGAAATGTCACTGCTCTCTCAACTTCCTCTACTTTGGTGGATTTTTGTGTACGCAAACAGCAAATAGATTTCGATAGTTGTCAAAAATAATCAATATGCGAGTAAACCTATTGTAGACGTCAGCAAGTCGCAATAGAAGAGCATACCGTCCCCAAATTCTTTTTTAATTCTTCCTATGCTTCGTATATTAATGAGTAGCGTATTTAGGGGTTGATTTTTGCGTATTCTGTTTGTAAAGCATACATACATATGTAAGTATGTACATATGCACATATTCTGGCAACAAAATTTTTACAAAACGTAACTTTTGGAATAAATTTAGATATTTCATAGTAAAATCATGCTTTTCTTCACAATGGTTCAACAAACGAAAATATTTTTTCAATCAAGGAAAGCAAACGAATATTTTTCACCGGCACTATTCCAGAGCACACAACTTTACTGATTGTGAAAGGTACAACTTTTTTAATATCACAAGGGAAACTAATGTGTCATTGATTAAGGCTTAAAGACCTATGTATATAAAATACCTTTTTTCATAGCGTACACGGCTCGAATAGAAAAATCGTTTTCGTTAAATGCTTTCCAAAAACGGTAGTTATTATTACCGCCCTTTATACAGCGTTGCGCCAGTGATACTGTCGACTACAAACTGCTCATAATTCACAGGAACAAGCTGTTTACTGCTCATACAGTATGTACGGAAATGTGTATTTACATGCGTATTTATGTACATACATGTACATTAGACTGCATCACTCCCCATACAAAAAGAAAATCGGTACTATTTTTCCATTGGAATTATAAAATCTACTATATTTTA